AAAAAAAAAAAAAAAAAGAAAACTATTCCAATCATTAAGGGCCCTACGTGAAGGGGAGGCAGACGGTTGGGATTGTCTCGCCCGCTTAGCTTCAGGGTTGCCGGTGCAAAGATTTCCATCGACCCCTCGGTGCCCAGCAGAAGGGCCCTGGATGTCAAAGGCAGACACAACTAAACCTTAAGCCCTAAACCTTATAGATCCTAAACCCTAAACCCTAAACCTTAAAACCCTAAACCCTGAACCGTTCTACTTATGAAGGCCTTAAATATCAGCTCTCACGAGCTCTGGCCCGATCAGCCAGGCATCGCCGAGGGCGAGTTTACAGTCGAAGCAGACAGGGCAGAGGTCGTTCGCTTAGGCGAGATGGCAGTCGAGAGTAAGATCCAGCACCTGCAGGCAAAAGGACCCTTGGGTATGGGGTTACCCTAAACCCTAAACCCTAAACCCTAAACCCTAAACCCTTGGGGTTCAGGGTTTGGCAGCTGCAGGCAGAAGGACCCTTGGGTTTTTCGGGTCGAGGCTTTAGGGTTCAGGGTTTAGGGTTCGCCAGCTGCAGGCAAAGGACCCTTGGCGTGTTTTCTGCAGGTCTCGGTCAGTAATTGTGTTAAGGACTGTGTTTTTATTTGTGGATGCTTGGGATCAAACCTGGCAAGAACATTCTAAGATGGCTGTAAATATTTACATTGGTTCTGTCCTTACCCCCAGCAAACCTCGAAACCTCCAGGACCATTGAGCCACTACCGCTTCTACACCGCTCTGCGCCCCTCGCTTCTCTGCGAGCAAAGGAAGGAGCGCAGCGTCGCGGCCTTCTTGCGGCTGTTCCATTTCGACAGCTGGGAGGCGAGGTAACAAAGATCCGTGTACTGTATTTGTCCCTCCTTTTGTGCCTACGCATGTGTCTCTGTGTGTGTGTGTACGCATACAGAAGTCTCATAGCAATTTAGCAGCGAGGTAGTATGGAGTGGCAAGAGCAAACTCTTCAAGTCGGTCATGTAAGAACCCACACGCACCCGCAATGCTCTCCCGAAACAGTTGTTGCTGTTCCTTGAACCCGAAACCCCAAACCCTAAACCCTAAATCCCAAACCCTAAATCCCAAACCCTAAACCCTAAGCCCTATAAACCCTAAACCCCAAATAAACCCCAAACCCCAGACTGTTCCCTGAACTCTGAACCTGGCTTGGAGGAGGCCCTGCGGGACAGCAGCGGCATGAATGCCGTGATGTGTGCCGTCTTTTCTGGTGACAAGGCTATGCTGCAAATATGGGTTAGGGTTTTAGGGTTTAGGGTTTAGGGTTTAGGGCTTAGGGTTTAGGGTTTAGGGTTAAGGTCTTTTCTGGTGACAAGGCTATGCTGCGGAAGTTAGCCGAGGGGCAGGCAGACATGAACGTTGGGCTCCAAGGCTTGGGGGATTTGGGGTACTACGACACGCAGACGACGCTGATGGTGGCAACGAAGTCGCGACAAGATGCCTCTCTTCTGCAAGCGCTGCTGGAGCTCCGTGCGAATGTGAACGGCACTTCAAGGGCTGGAATTACGGCCCTTTATCTGAGCCGGAGCCCGGAGCATGTGAAAGTGCTCTTGGAGTACCGGGCAGACATGCCTCATTACGTTTTGCGTGGTGCTGCCTCCTATGCCAGTCCCCAGACGGTGCAGGCGCTCTTGACGGCCCGCTGTGATGCCACCTGGTTAGATGACGACACGGGGGCCAGCCCCCTGGCTCCTGAGGCTGTAGGGGGGTCGTTTCATTTATGGTGATGAGGGTTTCTAGGGATTGTGGATGTAGGGTGGCTGGGGAGAACGGTTTGCTGTTTGGGAAGGGCTAAGTATCTGGACCATCTCGGCCGAATCGCACAAAAGCAGAGGAACATCTGCGCCGTCTAGATAAGCCACCCTAGACTCAGACCCCAAACCCCTGAACCGCAAAACCCCAAACTTAGATAAGCCCAGGTCCGCTCAACGGCTTGGCGCTCTTTGGCCGCAGCAACGCACAGGCCGTTGAGACCGCCAAGCTCTTGTTGGATCATCGTGCCAACGTCAACGCCTGCGCCAGGCCTATGAACAGCCAGGTGGGCTTTGTCGGAGTGGCAGCAAACCGCCCAGCCCTTGAAGTTGAACCCTGAATCGCTAAACACTAGTATCGGGGCTTAATAATTACCTACACTAGGGTTGATGATATGAATCCTGCATTACCCATAATAAGGAATATACCATAATTCCCATGGTTTAGGGTCCTTAAGGTAATGCAGGATTTCTATCATCAACGGTATTTTGGGGTTCCTTACGATAATTAGTATATACTTGCAGCCCCAAAACCCCCTTGAAACTTATGGAGGCCGCTACATTCGACACGAAACCTTCAACTCTGAGGGCTCGTCATAGAGGGCTCTGGTGAGCTCGGGTTCGATATGGGGCAAACAGCTGTTGAAGTCTCGAAGCTTTCTGCTCTCCGCTCCACAGGCAGAATGCCGGTGTCCTTGTCATGGAGTACTGAGATTAAGTTCCTATAGGGATATAGTCATAATCAGCATCACCGTCGTAATCATGGTCATAATGACATTTGTTCGTAAAGACAACAATCGTAACCATCATACCTTCTCATAGCCAGAATCATGATTGCAAAAAAGAAGCCACATCATTTTGAAGGTCTTCCTATTGTGGGAACTTAGATAAGTTTCCTGAACCATAACCCAGGGGTGGAGTGAGGTCTGTAGGTTTTGTGTTTTGACTTTTTGGGTTGCGGAGGATATCACAGCAGCACACACAACACCACACTTCATACGAAGTCCCGAGGATCCCCTCAGCCCTCTCAGCCCTGCAGCCCGAACCCTAAACCCCAATGCCATGCAAAGCCATGCAAAATACCCAATACCCAAACCCCAAAACCTCTAAACCTTTAAACCCTAAGCCCTAAGCTTCTAAACCCTAGTCCCTAAACCCTAAACCCTAAATAAACTTCTCAGCCCTAAACCCTAAATCCCTAAACCCTAAACCCCAACCATCGTACACCATTTGGAGGCATGGGTGCACCGACTCGCTCGGGCTCAAGTGGCCGTCTTCGGCGACTTGGGTGGTGCAACGGGCATCCCTTGGCTTGTTGTGGGGTTTAGGGAGGGCGTAGGGAGGGGCCTTGGGGCTTAGGTTTTAGGGTTTAGGGTTTGGGGTTTAGGGTTTAGGGTGTAGGGCGTAGGGTGTAGCATGTAAGGTTCAGGGTGTAGGGTTTAGGGTGTGGGGTTCAGGTTTTAGAGTTCAGGTAGGGTGTAGGGTTTAGGGTTTATTTGGGGTTCAGGGATGGAAGCCTTCATGATTACCAGTATCGTATACTATAGATCAAAACCGCATCCTAAAGCCAAAAAGTTCCGTATGACCACCGGAGGAGACCCCTAAAGCGTACACCCGAAGCCCTCTACAGCCTCTACAAAGCCCTAAAGTCAGACCCACATTAAAGCTCCCTAAGGGCTGGTCGAACGGCAAGAAGATGCCCTGAACTCCAAATTCTATGCCCTAAGAACCCCCCCCCCAGCCCCAAAACCCCAAGCCCTCAAAGCCTAAGCCTCCCCTTGTCAGGATGGTCCAACTGCAAGAAGATGCCCCGGCTACTGGCCTCACTTCCTGGGATCGCTCCGCTGGGCTGTGCCGCCATGGTCGGCCATGAGCAGCTCGCGAGGCCCGGAGGGGCTTTTAAAGCGATTTTGCTTTTAAATTAAGGCTTTAGGGTTTGGGGTTTAGGGTTGAAGTAGCGGGTTTTTGGGGGGTTTGTTATGGGGGTTTACGGGTCTTTGCAGGTAATATTTTTCGGTGGTCACATGTTGAAAGGATTTTTGGTGCTGGAAGGATTTCAAAGGGCGGCAATCCCAAACCCTAAACCCCACACCCTAAACCTCTAATCCCTAAGCCACCAAACCTCGAAGCCCCTTAACCCTAAACCCTACACCCCAAACCCTAAACCCTACACCCGGAGCCCTAAACCCTAAACCCTGAAACCTAAAACCCTGAGCCCTAGCCTCTAGAAGCCTCCGCACCCGAGGCGCCTGCGAGCTTGAACCTGAAGCCCTCAACCCCAAACACTATAACGGTTTAGGGTTAGGGTTTAGAGTTTAGGTTTAGTGTTTAGGGTTTAGAGTTTAGCAGGGTTTAGGGTTTAAGGTTTAGGGTTTAGGGTTGTAAAGAACCTTTGCAGAAGCGTTTGTCGAGCCTTCACAGGTTCGTAGATCCCTGAAGGAACCCTTAGCGAACCCTTGTAGCTCCCTTCAGAGATCCACACAAAGAAACCCTGATTTTACCCTTAGTCGATCCGTCCAAGGAGCCCTCGCCCCTACAAGGAGCCCTTAACAGAACCCGCATCGAACCTTTTCTGGGTCCCTTAAAGGAGCCCTCACCGGATTCCTTCACCGCAGATCCTTTAAAGGAGCCCTTCAAGGATCCCTAAATGGAGCTCTGCAAGGATCCTTTGTAAACCCCAAACCCTAAACCCTAAACCCTAAAAGCCCTAAACCCTAAACCCTGAAGCCCACCGTAAACACTCTCTTTCATTATGTATCTAAACCTTAATGACCTTCGCGGATTCTGATCACTTTTGATCAGAATCCGCGAACGGATTGCAACTTCGGTTCGGGAAACAGCAATTTCTTCGCGGATTCTGCTCACTTTTGATCAGGATCCACGAACGGATTTCAACTCTCGGGAAACAGCAATTTGTTCGCGGATTCTGATCACTTCTGATCAGACTCCGTGAACGGATTGTAACTCGCAGAGAAAACAGCAATTCGTTCGCAGATTCTGATCACTTTTGATCAGAATCCGCGAACGGATTGCAACTCTGGTCCGGGCGCCACTTTTTGGACCGTGTCCGGCGCTAGTTTTTCAAGATTTTTAGACCCCACACAAGAGGCCGGGACCGTGTCTGGCGCCACTTTTTGGACCGTGTCTGGCGCCAGTTTTGGAGGCTTTTAGAGCCTCATTGTGATAATCCCGAGTGAGCTAGAAGTATCATAGTGTTGCACGTGTGATGTCCACGAACTGAAGACGTCGATAGTATATTGTATGGTCGAGTCTGTTGCTGCCTGTCTTGAAGGTCTTGTGGTGCTGATATTGTTATTATGCCGAGTGAGCTAGAAGCATCACAATGCTGCACGTGTGATATCCGCGAAACGAAGGCGTCGATAGTCTCTGACTTATTAACTATATGCTGCCCGTATCGGTGTGATATAAAATAATGTAACCCGCAACATGATCATGTAAAGGTAGAAAGAACCCAACTGTAAATAGAACTCGTAGTTGTGAAAGAACGAACTTTTTATTTTCCAATGTTATGGGATTCTAAGGGTGGGTGGGTGTGATTTCTAAATCTTAAGTTTAACTTTACTATAAGACTGCTCGACCCGGAGCTGCTGAACCCTAAACCCCTAAACCCTAAACCCTAAACCCCCTAAACCCTAAACCACCAGGGGTTTTTTAGGGTTTTCGGAGACCCCAAAAAAGCCGGGAACCCCGAGGCTCTTCCTCGACTATGGAGCCGAGCAGGGCCCAAACGACCGGGGAGACTGGCCCGAGGATCTCCCCCAGGGGAGGGGGGGTGGGGATTTGGGGTTTGGGGGTTTGGGGTTTAGGGGTTTAGGGGTTTAGGGTTTAGGGTTTAGGGGTTTAGGGCTTAGGGCCTTAAGGGCCTTAAGGGTTTAGGGTTTAGGGTTTAGGGGCTTTGGGGATTTGGGGTTTGGGGTTTGGGGGTTTTAGGGTTTAGGGTTCAGGATTTGGGGTTTAGGATTTGGGGGGTGGTTTGGGGATGTAGGGTCCAGGATTTGGGGTTTGGGGTTGAGGGCTTGACGTTGGGGTTTAGGGTTTGGAGGTTTAGGGGTGTGCGGGGGTTCAGGTTTAGGGTTTGGGGGTATGGGGCTTACAGGGTTTCGCAATTTAGGGTTTAGGGGTTTAGGGTTGGGGCGCTGTTCGGGTTTATTGCAGGGCTTTGTAAAACGGATTCCTTTCAGGTTTGCTTGAAGGGTTCTAGAAGGGTTGCAACTGGGCAACTTTTAGCTTGGTGTCTTTTGTTATGTTTCTTTGCCTTCCTCTTATCAGTATGGTCTCTATCGTTCCATATTGCCAATCATCGTTATTGGTTTACTAGGTTGACTTCTACATTTATTATGAAGGCTTGGCAGGACTTTGATAGGGATTGTCATAGTACAAGGGCTTCACCAAGGTAGCGGGCATTGAGTCGTTCGCCAACTAGCCAGCCAGGTAGGCGTCTAGCCCCAGCTCAGTTCTTTGATCATGCCTACGTTTGTCTGATTTTGCCAATGCTTGCATATAGTTCATGCCGTTTTCTCTATCGCACATGCCCTTGTCACCCTGAGTGTCTTGAGGATCTGGCAAGGATCAATCACCACCACAATCTCCTGCCGTTGCTGGCCACTTTCTCCACCTGAGAGCTGAGGGAGTTTGGGGTGTGCCATTAAACCTAAAACCTCCAGCGCCAGGCCCTGCAAAGGAAACCTTAAGCCCAAACCGTTTCACCCTCGACCTCAAACCCCAAATCAAGGTGAAACCCTAAACTCTGAACGCTGAACCGTATGGTGAGCTCTAAACCCGAAGCTGTTGATGTGAAAGGGCCATCAGGAGAAGGACCCCCCTCCCAACATGGTATCACAGGGGCCTGAAGAATTTCCAACCCTAAACCCTAAAACTCTAGAGCCCCAAAACCCTAAAGCCTGAAACCCTAAAGCCCTAAGCCCTAAACCCTAAAACCCTAGAGCCCCAAAGC